TCCGCGCACTATCTGTCCAACCACATGGGGCATATATGTGCCTGCGGCAGGTGCGGCCAGGTGTTGATCAAAGGCCGGCAGCTGCAGGAGCATGCCGAGCGCTGCGGTGAATCCCATGGAGCTGAGTCGGACTCCCATGGCGAGGATGAGGCGTCCCTGCTGGAGGAGCCGCATGGGATGGAGGAGGGGCTGCTGGAGGCAGCCGACCTGGCGTGTCCGCACTGCGGCCTGCTGTTCCAGAACGAGAGCCTGGCGTTGGAGCACGCTCTATCCTGCCACGACCAGGAGCTGTTTCGGCCCACCATGCTGGAGGAAGGCGGCGAGCCCGATCACCGCCGCAAACACTTCTGCAGCATCTGTGGCAAAGGCTTCTACCAGCGCTGCCACCTGCGCGAGCACTACACTGTCCACACCAAGGAGAAGCAGTTCACCTGCCAGACCTGTGGCAAGCAGTTCCTGCGCGAGCGCCAACTCCGCCTCCACACTGACATGCATAAAGGAATGGCGCGCTACGTGTGCCCCGTGTGTGACCAGGGGACCTTCCTCAAACACGACCACGTGCGTCACATGATCTCCCACCTGTCAGCCGGGGAAACCATCTGCCAGGTGTGCTTCCAGATCTTCCCGGGTGGCGAACAGCTGGAGAAGCACATGGATGTCCACCTGTACATCTGTGGCGTGTGCGGTGAGAAGTTCCGCCTGCGCAAAGACATGCGGAGCCACTATAACTCCAAACACACCAAGAGACTATAACAGCGCTGCTGCCATGTCCACGAGTCTGTTACTAAGAAGCCATAAATGTGAGAACAAAGAATGCACTTGAACACCAAAAAGACTGAACTGCACTTTGAAGCCGTACGCAAACTAACCGGGTGTCACACTGCGAGCTGCGGGTCCAGCCGCGCCTTAGTGACTTCTGTCCGCTTGAGGCTTTGCGCAACAGGAAGCTGGTGGGTTGGTAGATACCTGAGGACAGGAAGCCTCGTGTTAGAGCTGATTCTGAATAAATAGCAAACAGCATGCTGCCTAGAAACCGACTGCTATTTGTCCATACATGGAGAGCGGGAGGTGGGCGGTGGCACACAGGCTCCACCCACTGCCTGCCTCTCTCCATGATGACGGTGTAGTCACCGTGCGTGACAGGAAGCTTCTGTCTGCCATATTGGAGCTGAACTTGGTGGCGAGAGAGGCAGACCTTTTCTGGAGGGAGGAGGAAAGCTGTTTAGAGCACAAACAGTTGTTTTATCCTTCAATTCAATTCAATTGAACTTTATTTTACGCAAACCTACGGCACACAGTCACAACAGCAGTCGCCTCGTGGGGCTCTGTGAGATTAACCCTTGACAAAATTAAAGGCCAAAATGAGCTGCACAATGAATTACACGCCAGGAAACAGATTACAAATAACTGAACCCATCGTAAAATCTGATTGGTCGCCCAGAGCTCACGTTTCCTGTTGTTCTTTTTTTTTAAATGTTTAAACACGAGCTGAAACTCAAAACTGCCCTTGCGTGATTTTCAGAGCAACGAGGCGCCATGTTGCCTTAAATTCCGACTCGCAGAGTGCACGGTTCAAATCGCGGCCTCAGACTGATGTGGTCATGTGGCCTTCTCTGAGCTTTAATCACATTTCAGGTCCAAAAGTAATCCACAGAAACCCACCAATCAGACGACCCCTATGAACTCACGCTTTAGCGACATTTCTGGCTGATTCAAAACCGTCAGGAGTTACTGAAACTGGCGCCGTCACAGGCCGGTGTGAGCTGCGGTGGTTCTGCAGCGCTCTGAGCTTCTGTTTTAAGACGTTACCTGAAACTGGCTGCAGGTCTAGACGCAGCTGCTCTGTTCTCTAAACAAACCATGAAGGTGACGTGCCGTCAGCTGGTGCCTGCACGACCAATCACGCTCTCAGCTGACGGCACTGATCGTTTTTATAGTTAAACATTATTTTTATTAAGTTATAATTGCATGTATGATATCTGACAGCTGTGATGGCCAATCAGCTGCTCGTATCAAAGAGCAGGAATCTCGCAGTCGCGTAGAGGAGGCACCACCCTCCACCCGTTACAGCTCAGGTCTGAACGAGTCGACCGTAGCATTTCCGTCCAATGGACCAAGTGGAGGACTTGCGGACCTTCATGGATCCTAGAGTTCAGGTTCAGCACGTACACGCTAAACTGACGTCATCACAACCTAAAAACGTTATAGTAACCGATTAAAATGAGTCCGTCGAAGCTCCGCCCACACCCACGGTTAGCGCTTGTGCTGCTCGCAGTGTGATCTCCAGAGGAAATACAAACTAGTATATCTGCTGAAACGGTACCCCTGTGACCTGCGTGGAGAGAAATTCCTGTTTGCAAGGGTGCGCTGCCTCACGCTTGGATGTTTCCCAGAATACTAAAGCCTGTTACGGCTTCCTCGCTCTGTCACCGTCCCACGCACTCTGTGATTGGTGCCTTTACTGTAACACTCCGTCCTTCCTGTCAAACTCACGGCGATGTGTGAGGGGCGGGCCGGCACGGAAGGTCACAAACCCCCCCTCAGACTGAACCGGCCAATGAAAAATCCAACAACTAAACACTAGAACCAGTCACCTCGACTCTTACCCTCAGAACTCCTGTTATGCCTTACAAGTCTCTCGAAGTGTTCGCTCGCCAGCAGTACGGGATCGGACTGGATCCAGCTGCTCAGAACCAACCAGTCGTTACAGGCTCGAGTAAATCAGACTATCAGAACCAATCAGAATGAGCTCCATGAAATGATTCTGCGGCTGCTTGGACAATCAGCCCTGCCCCCCTCATCATCATCTTCTCGTCTGGCTCACAGTGAGACTGTTTCCTGTGGACTAAGACCTGAAACCAAACAAACTCCAGCTGAACTCAAACTAATTCAACTTTCACCTAATCAGCACTAACAGAAGTCAGGGACATGCCCCTTTAATGCCTCACCAGTTTAGACCAGTTTAAGCCGGCTCAGGTCGGACCGGGTGGATCTGACCAAGGTGGCGGGTCCACCTGGTTACCCCAGGTGTAAACGAATGTCGTCTTAAGTAAAGCTAGCGATGTCAGCTGTTTGTTCTTCTTCTTGCGTTGTTTTTCTGTTTGTGACCACGACTCTTAATAAACAGAGTGAACCTGAGTGTGGGTGGAGCCTCTGTTTCCATCCCACAGAGGATGAAGGCTCAGTGTTATTTACCAGCACCTCCTCCTCAAGCTGCAGCTTCATCTTTTCTCTGCTTCACGAAGTTTTTAATGTCAGGGCTGAGGGAGGATCAGCTCATTGATCAGCTGATGTTTGGACTGATGCTCACATTTTTCACAGAGATCACCTGTAGCTGTGTTCTAGCTTCTGTGGTTTCCTGACAGGATACCACAGAAGAAGCAGCTGTTATTGATTATTGGTTTGTTAACGGTGATCGTTTCTGACTGAAGGCCAGCGGGAAATGGGTCCAGTGTTGGTGTTTAAATGCTCCACATAAATGTTTTTCAGTCACATGGGCTCTGAGATTCAGCTGACCTTTGACCTTCCTATCTGATTGGAATATAATCACAATTATTTTGAAGATTTTTATTGATGTTGATCATGCAACCTCAGTGCTTCCTGTTTCAAATTGAGTGTTTAGTGAGGCTTTTATTCTGAAATATTTCCAGGAAACTGCATCTCACTCAGAAATACTTGTTTTAATTTTTCTAAAGATTCTGAAGATGAGACATAAAAATAACATTTGATCAGAATGTCATCAACACAAGGCCGCAGATGTCCATCTCCACCGTCAGATCACCTTTGAATCTGAAAATGTTAAATCCAGACTTTTGTCTCTGTTTGGATTAAAATATCCACAAGAGGAGGGTCTGTAATGTTCCTCTGCAGCAGGGTGTCAAACTCCAGTCCTCAACATCAGCCTCACAGCTTCCTGTAGAGCACAGGTGTCAAACTTGAGGGCTGGTGTCCTGAAACTTTTTCATGTGTCCCTGCTGCAACACACCTGATTAAAATTAGGTTATTAGCAAGACTTGACTGCATGCTGAGGTGGCAATCCCCAACCTTACTCAAGTAAATTTAAATAAATGTAAGTTTTTGGGAAATTGTACTTCTAAAAGTACTTTTGTTGCACCATGTTCATTCACTTATGAGCTGCTGTAACATGAATCAAATGGCTGAGGCTATATCTACACTAGCCCGGATAAATTTGAAAACTGTGTTTTCTTTTGAAAATGCTCTGTGTCCACACTATCGTTTTCACGTTGTGCGTCCACATTGAAACGGCCGAAAATACCCTCCGCTATATTAGGCTACGTTCACACTGCAGGGCTTAATGCTCAATTCCGATTTTTTGATCAAATCCAATTTTTTTTTTCTCTGCTTGTTCACACTACAAATACAATGTGACAGCAAACAAGCTCTAGTGTGAACCCTCAAAGCAGCCCGCATGCGCAAAAGAAGACATCACACACAACGCGCTTTGTTTAGACCCAGACCAAACAGTATTGTTTGACTGATGGCCCTTAATATAAAGACTTCGGACTTTATGTTTCCCAAATTTGCTTTAAGTTATAAAGTTATTTTGTTATTTACAAATGGCCTAATAATTATCCTTATTGCTGTTTTAGAGAGGAGCGGTGCTTCAAAGGATAGTTAGAAATGTCTGTCAGAATCTGCAGATAATACAGTACAAATAAAATGTTCCCATTTTCTGTACGTTTCACTAACATCTACACGGGATGACCAAGAAGCGTTCACGATGTCTTATCGGGTGCTTTTCAGGCGCTGATAATTGGCATCTGTCTTGTGTCAGTGACGTAAAAGACGGATTTAATGCGACATGACCATTCAAACAGCAGTCGCTTTCTAAAACATCAGATATGTATTGGATTCAGTACCACATACAAAAGTGACCCTGATCGGATTTAAAAATATCGGATTTGTGCTGTTCACACTGTCATAGCATGATCGGATATGGGTTGCATAGGGTCAAAAAAGTCAGATTTGATGCGCTTTCGCCTGCAGTGTGAACGTAGCCTAAGTTTAATTTAATTGGTCACATGACTGCATCACATGACTAAAATGTGTCATCGTTTTACCACAGTGTCACCACAGTGTGATTCACTGTCCACACTGCGACATGAAAACGGCATTTTCAAATATATCCGGTTTGGAAAGTGTTTTCAAAACACAGCGTTTTCCTTGACCAAAAATGAAGTCTCAGTGTGGACGGAAGGCCAAAACGAAGAGAAAAAGATGTTTTCAAACGAAAACGTATAAGTGTGGACATGGCCTGAATTGCCTCCTCAGCATGCAGTCAAGTTCTATAGTCTTGCTAATGACCTACCAATTTTAATTCTGGTATGTTGCAGCAGGGACACATTTAAAAGTTTCAGGACACTGGCCCTCGAGTTTGGCACCTGTTCTCTACAGGAAGCTGTGAGGCTGATGCTGCTAGTCACACTTTGTGAAAAACTGGTTCAGCGTCTGTCCACACGGGGGAGCTGCAGAAGGACTGACAGACTGAAGATCTGCTTTGTGGGCTGGACCTCTTCAGACACCAGAATGAAAGCAGAACCTGCAATATGACTCACAACACCTCTCTGAGGTTTGACTGAGTCAAAAGAGTTTGTGATCCAACTGCATGTTGGAGGCCAAAGGTCAGCTGCTGGCTGTGAGAGGTAGGTCCTTGGGTCAGTCTGAATGTGACAAACACACTGTCAGTTGCTGAGGAGTCGAGTCCTTTTTAATAACGCTTTGGCACACGAGTCCCAGATCAGTTACAGATGCTAGCCCTCGAGCAGAGAGGGTTGGTGTTCTGTGCTGTGGCTCGAATGCAGGCTGAGATCACAAGAAGACCTGCGAGCTGCTGATGTTTCATGTGTATGACGATGTGAAGAGAAGGAAGCTGAATGCAGAGGTCAGTGTGACAGAGCGACAACAGGAATGTGACATCACTTAGATGTGTTTCTAATGTGGCAGCACAGTTTTCACTTTATTGTTTCTGACTTCAGGTGGTGCTCTCCGCCTCTGCCGCCAGGCCATGTTACACCACAGTTCAAGAGGGGGGCAATGAACGTGTCACAGGTGCGACTCACCTGACTTGACTACACCTGAGTGTGTGGTCAAGTGAGTCTGAGGAGGAGGACCTGTGTCCGTCACATGTCTGCTGGGACTCTGCAGACACACAAATCTTGATGTAGGTGTAAAAACCACTGATGTTTGGAAATGCTGAGCTGGATTTGATCCAAACCTTCTGCTGTATTTATTTTTGTTTCATTCTCTATTTTCTGTAACAGAATGAAATAAATCAGGTTAAATTGTTTTCATTTGTCAGTGATGACAGTCATGCACCTGAGGGCATCATCAAACTGTTTTCATCTGAACCAAATATTTGCATAGATGTAAGATTATCTACAGCTGCTTTCAGTACCACTGATGTTAATTTAGTGTCTTTCTCTCCAGCTGATCTGAGTTAGCTTGAGTAACTACCACCAGCTGCTTTGGCCTGTTCTTTTCTGTATCACATGGTGGCGCAGTAAGTCACTGTAACTTTCATTTAATTAGAGTTTATTTCCTGTAAACAAATATTAAATGATTTCTAACCAACTGCATCAATCTGTCTGTGATTAGCCGTCCACACTGAGCTCTGACAGCTGTACAAATAGCGTTGTTCCTGAAGTCACACCTTGGTATTTTGGTAAATCCAGATTTATTTATCTCAGTCCTGCAAACGGGAAGCCGGATTTTCAGGTCATTAACTGAGGCATGAAAATGCGCGGCCTCTCCTACTTCCTGTCAAACAGCAAGTTTGTCTCCACATAGGATTCCAGGAGCTCGGGAATCTGACGGCGTATCTCTGCTTTGAATCCTCGGCTTTGTGACGACAATCACAAACCTTCAGATTCTGTTTGCTGTCTTGACCCAAAAAAAGATGGCTGCCACACAGAGGTTTCTCTATTTTGATGGGGCGAATGATCAGATTTCACAAACAAACAGAAATCATTTATGAAGCTGATCTTTAGACCCGTTGAGGAAAAACCTGCTGCAGACACATGATCTAAGACGGCTGAGGTGCACTGGCACAACACAACCTCAGTGATACATCACCTGCCAGTAGAGATGCTTAGGTCACTCAGCCTTGGCACAAAAGGCGGTGAAGACAACGTGTGCATGAAAGAGGTGAGCGGGATGGCATAGACCTTCCCAGCAAATGCCTATTCGATCCAAAATAAGACGGAAGAATGAGACTGTCTCACAGGCTGTTCACCTGCTACTGCATGATGTAAAGCTCAGGGCTTCACTGTGCAACTGGTTGTTGAGAGCTCAGCCTGATGTCCAATAACGACAGTCTGCTTACAGGAAGTGGCTGAATCTGCAGTCCGCTGCTCTGACCAGAGAGGAGATGACTGTGGACTCCAACACTGGTCTGCGCACAAACACACTCCATGTTTCTGTTGATCTGAATGATTATGGTATTTTCATAGGTTTTAGTTTAATGAAACAAATCAATCTTCTTCTACTCAAAAAACTGATCATGACAGAGACATGAAGATTCATCATGAGACTGATCAACAGGACATTTTAAATCAGAGTAAAGTTGTTTCTAAAACTTTAACGTTACTCATTTATTAATGTAAATAAAAACAAACACTTCTGTCTTCTAAATCTGTTCAACTCTAACGCTGCATGAATGAAGTTAGCAGCTGGAAAACATCTCTGTGTGAGAGTGATTCAAACAACACCAATAAAATACCACTGATGTGTTTTACGTGGATTTCAAACAGTACAGATGTTATTCTGATATGAAATGTCGATGTTTTATAGTTTGTAAATAAAGGCACCTCCATATTGGAGCCACTGCGTGGCAGTGATGCATCCTTGAACCTGTGTGACTTTGCCTGTGTGACAACAAAACTATCGACTACACTACTCACTAACTTCACAACACAAAACACTAACTTTAAACTCCAAACACGCTAAAAGTCACAATTCTTTCACATCTCAAAACTTTCTTTCTCTCTCTCGCTCTTTTGCTCTCTCTCTCTTTCGCTGCCATCATAAAACTTCTCCGCCTTTCTAAACAATCAAATGCCATGATGCCGTATTATTATTTTTTTATTTGATTTACCGTTTTTCCCCCAGTAAATATAAACAACAATAGTATTCAGGAAAAAGCTTTACGTATATATTTTTTTCATGACTCTGGTTTTAAAGCCTATCAACACAATTTAAAAACTAGTATATAGTTTGAAGTCCACACTTTTTATACAAAAATGGAGAATCGGGGTTGTTTTGGGTTGAAAGCATCTTGTTACTATGTCATCTTAAATTGGTCATGCGATTGGTTTACCTTGACTATTTTATTCTTCCTCAGCCAATCAGCAGCACAATCGTCTGTGTTGAAAAATAGTAATGAGTCCACACCGCATTTTCTTGTTAGTAACAGCGTTTTAATGATAGAAATGGTAATTATTCAGATTAGTTACTGTTATTCCCATCACTGATAATGACACAATTATTTCTACCACTAATCATTTCTACCACTCATAAATGGTAAATGGACTGATTCTTATATAGCGCTTTTCTACTCTCCTGGAGTACTCAAAGCGCTGTATGCAACGCTGTATACAAACTAGTGACGGTATTTAATAATCTATATCCACAAATGAAAATTGTAAATAAATGACATTAGATGAGCACAAATCTACGGAAGAGGATTAGGGCCACTGGAAAAAAAAAAGGATTCTGACTTTAATCTCAGAATTCTGACTTTTTTCTCAGAATTCTGACTTTTTTCTCAGAATTCTGACTTTTTTCTCAGAATTCTGACTTTTTTCTCAGAATTCTGAGAAAAAAGTCAGAATTCTGAGATTAAAGTCAGAATCCTTTTTTTTTTCCAGTGGCCCTAATCCTCTTCCGTAGATTTGTGCTCATCTAATGTCATTTATTTACAATTTTCATTTGTGGATATAGATTATTAAATACCGTCACTAGTTTGTATACAGCGTTGCATACAGCGCTTTGAGTACTCCAGGAGAGTAGAAAAGCGCTATATAAGAATCAGTCCATTTACCATTTATGAGTGGTAGAAATGATTAGTGGTTACTGTTATTCCCATCAGTGATGGGAATAACAGTAACTAATCTGAATAATTACCATTTCTATCGTTAAAACGCTGTTACTAACAAGAAAATGCGGTGTGGACTCATTACTATTTTTCAACACAGACGATTGTGCTGCTGATTGGCTGAGGAAGAATAAAATAGTCAAGGTAAACCAATCGCATGACCAATTTAAGATGACATAGTAACAAGATGCTTTCAACCCAAAACAACCCCGATTCTCCATTTTTGTATAAAAAGTGTGGACTTCAAACTATATACTAGTTTTTAAATTGTGTTGATAGGCTTTAAAACCAGAGTCATGAAAAAAATATATACGTAAAGCTTTTTCCTGAATACTATTGTTGTTTATATTTACTGGGGGAAAAACGGTAAATCACATAAAAAAATAATAATACGGCATCATGGCATTTGATTGTTTAGAAAGGCGGAGAAGTTTTATGATGGCAGCGAAAGAGAGAGAGAGCAAAAGAGCGAGAGAGAGAAAGAAAGTTTTGAGATGTGAAAGAATTGTGACTTTTAGCGTGTTTGGAGTTTAAAGTTAGTGTTTTGTGTTGTGAAGTTAGTGAGTAGTGTAGTCGATAGTTTTGTTGTCACACAGGCAAAGTCACACAGGTTCAAGGATGCATCACTGCCACGCAGTGGCTCCAATATGGAGGTGCCTTTATTTACAAACTATAAAACATCGACATTTCATATCAGAATAACATCTGTACTGTTTGAAATCCACGTAAAACACATCAGTGGTATTTTATTGGTGTTGTTTGAATCACTCTCACACAGAGATGTTTTCCAGCTGCTAACTTCATTCATGCAGCGTTAGAGTTGAACAGATTTAGAAGACAGAAGTGTTTGTTTTTATTTACATTAATAAATGAGTAACGTTAAAGTTTTAGAAACAACTTTACTCTGATTTAAAATGTCCTGTTGAGCAGTCTCATGATGAATCTTCATGTCTCTGTCATGATCAGTTTTTTGAGTAGAAGAAGATTGATTTGTTTCATTAAACTAAAACCTATGAAAATACCATAATCATTCAGATCAACAGAAACATGGAGTGTGTTTGTGCGCAGACCAGTGTTGGAGTCCACAGTCATCTCCTCTCTGGTCAGAGCAGCGGACTGCAGATTCACCCACTTCCTGTAAGCAGACTGTCGTTATTGGACATCAGGCTGAGCTCTCAACAACCAGTTGCACAGTGAAGCCCTGAGCTTTACATCATGCAGTAGCAGGTGAACAGCCTGTGAGACAGTCTCATTCTTCCGTCTTATTTTGGATCGAATAGGCATTTGCTGGGAAGGTCTATGCCATCCCGCTCACCTCTTTCCTGCACACGTTGTCTTCACCGCCTTTTGTGCCAAGGCTGAGTGACCTAAGCATCTCTACTGGCAGGTGATGTATCACTGAGGTTGTGTTGTGCCAGCGCACCTCAGCCGTCTTAGATCATGTGTCTGCAGCAGGTTTTTCCTCAACGGGTCTAAAGATCAGCTTCATAAATGATTTTCTGTTTGTTTGTGAAATCTGATCATTCGCCCCATCAAAATAGCATAGCATAGCATAGCATCTTTATTTATAACGCACTTTACATCCAACTATGTTGACCAAAGTGCTACAAATATAAAACAGAGAGGAAACAGTTTAAATTACATATAAAATATCTTAAAATTAAAAGTAATATAATTAATAAGAAACGTATTAAGAGACATCCACAAGTCCTGCTGTGCTAAAAGCCAAGGTAAATAAATATGTTTTAAGACGTGATTTAAAAACAGATAAGGAAGGTGCCTGTCTAACATGTAAAGGCAACTCATTCCACAATTTTGGTGCTGCCACAGCAAACGCCTGATCCCCTCTGAGCTTACGATTAGTCCTGGGCACACTCAGGAGGAGCTGGTCTGCCGACCTGAGGGACCGGGAAGGTATGTATGGATGAAGAAGCTCAGAGAGGTACACAGGGGCAGCATTGGACAAACATTTAAAAACAAATAAAAGCATCTTAAAATGGATCCTAAAATGCACGGGCAGCCAATGAAGTGAATATAAAACTGGGGTGATATGCTCGTATCTATGAGTGCCAGTTAAAAGGCGTGCAGCAGCATTCTGGACTAACTGCAGCCGAAGAACAGAAGATCGACTCACCCCAAAATAAAGAGAATTACAGTAATCCAGCCGAACGGTTACAAAAGCGTGGATTACTGTTTCAAATTGCTGTCTCGTAAGAAAGTGCTTAATTTTGGCCAGTTGCCTCAGATGAAAGAAACTAGACCTTACAACCAACCCGATCTGGCTTTCAAGCTTAAACTCAGGATCCATTTTAAAACCCAGATTAACAATCTCTGGTTTACAGAATGATTTCAGGGATTGCAAATCAACACACGGAACAGCAGTGGAGGCAGGTCTGAACACCATTACTTCAGTTTTAGAATCATTAAAACAAAGAAAGTTTAGCGCCAACCACGACTTGACGTCCTCCAGACATGTTTG